CTCAGATAATAGCAATTAATTTGACTTGAAAAGGCAAATATAACAGAAATAGAAGACATCTAATTGCAGCTTTTTTGCATTTTTGAATATTTATGTAAATTTTAATAAACTACACCCTGCTGTATTTCAATTTTATGTTATGTAATGGCAGGATTACCACAGAAATAAACTAAAATTACTTTTTGGCTGAAATCCACAAACCCAGCTTAATCTGAGCAAAGAGTTAATTTTATTTAGGAGCATTAATTAACATTTTAAATGAAAATCAAATTTCCATGCTTTTATCACCCATTTTGCTACTTTTTATTATTTATTTATTTATTTATTTTTATAGCTGAGCCATCCTGCCACCTGTTGGCAGCTCAGCTTGGGCGTAGTGTCACTGGCCCATGTGGGAACTGAACTGGTGGCCCTGCTGCTCAGAGCTTGCGCTCCCAAGCCAACTCTTAACCAACTGAGCCACTCGGCCAGCCCTCATTTTACTACTTTTTAATTTGCTTTTGTTAAGACTAAAAGTGCCCCTCAAGTGGAAAGCATTTCCAAGGTGTAACTGGAAAGTTCCCTGAGTCACTTTGTCACCTTCCCGCCCCTGACGTGGCCTCAGGCCCACAGTTTGCAGGTCGCTGTGTCTGAGTTGAGCCGACACTCGGCCGCTGGTCACTGCAGGAACGCCAGGTCTCGTTGTGTTTCTTAAGCTCCTACTGGATCTGCACCACAAGAAAGTTATTTAAAGTTCTGTGACGTTTTTGACCACACTTGAGTTAAATTGTCTCAAGACCATTTCAAGTGATATGTTTGAGAACCTTGATTATTCTGTAAATGATAAGCTGATGGTTCACTGCAAATCAAAACGTCAGTAGTTCTAGAAGCCAGGCTGTTGCCACAGACGGGCCAGATGAGTAAACAGACGGCCAAAGAGGACTGTCCCCTGCTTGCTCTTCCTGAGGCTGGGGCTGGACTTCTCTGTCTATCTGTCTGTCTGTCCTTTAAGTGAGCCGCAGCTCAGGATCTGGAAACTTCTGTTTCTCACAGCAAAGGGGAGTAGAGGGAAGAAGTGAAGGAGAAATCAGCAAGCATTTTCCACATTTAGGTTAAAAATACTTTCTGTTGCCCAGACTCCTGGCCTGTGATTACCTGAGGATTTGCACCTTTTCTTTAAGGGTTTTAATTTATCTTTTAATTTTCTCAAAACCTTCGGAAGCTGTGTGTGGGCTTTTTGCTGTTTACCTGGTCGGCCGCTGGCATTTTCATTCCATTCCCTGAGACTTTGTAAGAGGACACTGTGCGCACACCGACGTACGCGGGTTCCTTGGGCCCCGTCCCCCCCGCCTGTCCCCTTCACTCGGGGCTCCCACGCTGAGCGCAGCCTTCGGTCACAGGACGCCCCATCAGGAAGCCCAGGATGGAGGCGGGCCTGGGACCTGGCCTCTCCCAGACCCACATCCCAGCCACTCGCGACTCCTTCGTGGGCTGAGCTAAGTTTTAACATTTTTGCTGCGATGCCCATCTGTAGCCAAATGATATTTCCAGGCCTCTGACTGCAGCGTTCGACTTTGCCCCACGAGCTCAGTGCTCCAGAAAGGAAGTTTAGGAAAGCAGATGTACATTTTTCTATAGTTTTGGGTTTTTCAAGAATGAAAAACAATAGGAAATTTTTATACGTTAAAGTAATCACTTATTTTAATAAAATATAGCAATTAATTGTATTTACTTATAAATACCGTAATTATTTTCTGTGGATTTTTGACACATCTTGGAGAACAAACTTGAAATCAATTAACACAGTGAAAAGGTTACTGAGACAAAGCCCCTGTAATCAGACACTGCTCCATGCAGACCCGACTCAGACTCGCTTCCATGGGTTCAGCCGCGTGTCTGCCGCAGAACCTGCCCCTCCACCTTCGGGGCGCCTGGGGCTCTGCACCCACCTGCTCTTTCCTGCTGGTCCTCCTGCCAGACGCCCACTTCCTCCTGGGGCTTCTGAGGTCTCAGGAGCAGGCACCCGACTGCACGAGCTCCGAGCTCCGACAGAGTTCCTCTGAGAAAACTCATCGGCCCACGTGGCTCTCAGCGAGGACGAGGTTCTCGGGCTCTGGGCAGCCTGCCCCGCCGTGCTGCCAGGACTTGGGCACACACGTCACTTCTGGGCAGCACAGAGTGCTGCACTCCATTTTAGGTTTGGGAACTGGTCAGAAATAGCTTCCTTCAAGTTCCTAACAAGTGCTCAGTGCAGTTTCACCAGGGGATGACAAGTGTGCATCGTTTTAAACTATCGTTAGACAGATTCACGGATTTTTCCACAATTACCTACGATTTGTTTTTGCAAAAGCTGGTGCACCTAAAAGCAGAGACCTCGATTTGCTGCAGGTCCGTGCGGGCTGGGAGGTGAAACCCTGTGATGATCAGAAAACCGTGTCTCTGTATCGGATCGTTAGAAGTCGAAGCTTAATCACGGGGACATCACGTGGCTGTTCACTGATGTGAGTGCTTCCTCGTCTGAATGAGGGGGGTGCCAGGCCACCCCCTGGCGCCTGCAGCTGCTTTTCTGACACCGGGAAGAGCCTGATTTTAGACCTCAGCTTATTACTGTGGCTAAAATGCAGAAATAGGGATCTGGAAAGAATATTTTGACAAGTAATGATACAATATTTCTGATCTACATAAACATTCCAGCTGGGTGATGAGCTCATTTTTCTTTGTGCTTAAAGGAAATGTGTGATCAACTGTTGCACATCTGTATCTCGAATTCCTTTCTGCTCACTTGTATCTCCAGAGGCTCCACTGAGCTTAATCTAGACGCTCTGAAGTCACACACTGGCGAACAAGCGCCCATCGGCCCCTCTGGGGCCCACTGTCGGCTGCAAAACAAAACGAAACCATGGCGTCACCAGGCTCCACAGGGAGCGTCCCACAGAGGAAGGGTGTTGGCTGCAGGGACCCGCAGGGCTGTGGAGGCCCCGGCCCGGCCGCGGGCAGTGCTGTGAGCAGGTGGAGACGGGCTGGACCCCGTCACGTGGGCCGAGGCCATGCTCAGAGGTGTAGGTGGGCTCAGCGTGCGAGTGGAGGGAGTGTGTGCGGTGTAAGCGGCCAGGTTGACCTCCTGTGGAGAACAGACCCAGGTGAAGGCTAAGGGGACGGTCAGCGGGCTGGCCCCACGGCTGCTGGGGGCTGGTGTCCGTGCCTGGAGAGGTGTCAGGAGCAGGGAGGGGGTGCCGGTCGGGGACACGGCAAGCGCAGGGGCCTGCAGACACGCTGGAGCCAGCTCAGATCACACGTGAACTTGAAACAGCGACATGTTGACATAGGACTATAGGCTAAGATTTGTTGAGTAGATGTGTATAATTTTGCAAATAAAAACCTTGATACCCAGACAGTTAAGGCTTCTCGTCTGCATGTGGAATGCCTTTTTCCAGAGAACCTCAGAGGGTGGGAGTATCATTTCCAAAAATCCTTGCATGGCACGTGTGTGCAGGTCACTGGGGCGGGTCAGAGAGCGTGAAATGGGCTTGTAGGTCCGCCATCGACAATGCCACAAAGCCCCCACATTGAATATGGTGTCCAGTGCCTCTTGCCACGCCGCGGTGGTGCCTGGTCCCCGGCTGCCTGACTCTGCTCATCCTCCTCCCTACCCTGTGCCTCACCCCTGCCTCACCCTGCAGCTCACCCCACGCCTCCGTCCTCCGCCCGCCCGTGCCCACCGTGGTCCCCCCTCCTGTTTATGGGCAGGGGGGGCTCTGAGGCCTGTTTTACATTTCCTGATGTCCCCATCCACCCAGCAGAGCTAAGCTCATGTCTCTGAGGGTCATCAGAGCACCACACCTCTCGTGATGTGTTACAGCCCCTGGGATGTGGAGCTGATGTGATTTCACAAAAGACTCATATAATCTACAGTGTGAACACTTCTGCCATCTTGTGTGGATTTCCACCTGTCCACCTGCCCGAAGGACTCTGAGCCCCACAGTTGGTGTTGTGATGCTCCCGGGACCCAGCTCAGAGCTGGAGAGGGTAGGGGGACGACAGATTCTGGAAGGACAGATTGCCGAAGGGAGGCGAGGCCACACCACATGGGCCGAGCGGGCGTTTCTGGGCAAGACCTCAGCGTAACTGAGAACACTGTTACCTGAAACAGCACCCTTACATCCAGGAATACGGAGGCTGTGCTTATTTTCAACACAGTTTAATACCGCCAATGGCTAGAAATGATGTTGACAGTGGCTGTGAGACAAAACGGGGGATATTAAGAGAACCTGAGTGTTGAAGGACTAGAGTAGCTTCTGACTTGGTTTCCAATATTTCGTCAGAGACTTACAATTAAAGCAGCGTGTGAGGGCCGAGGCCCGCGAAGGCGCCTGAGGTTTTGTGCGAAGGTGTCCAGTCTGACCCAAAGCGCTCTCCCTGCCTCCACGAGAGCAGGAAGGTGAGCTGGGTAGTAGTGGAGTCACACTCGGCCTGCACACCATGGAGGCCCTCTTCCCTGTGACGTGTCGGCAGGCCCTCGTTAAAGCAGGAGTGTGACTCCATCCTGGGAAGAGGGGCGACTGCTCAGCGGCTCTGGGGCGACTGTTCCATTGTCGGTGTCGACTTCCGAGTGAGAGCTGGGACTCAGCGTTCCCACACGCGCTGGCGCAGTCCTGACATCTGCACCCACATCACACACGCCTGTGTTTGGAAAGCAGCTCTCAGCTGTGGAGTCATCCGGGTGCTCAGCTTTGTGGGGCTGCCTGGGGCTGTGCCGCCGGCCTTCCCCACCCCCCACACTGACACACACGCTGACACACACACTGACACATTTACACATGTGATCACATTCTCACACATACACACATGTACACACATGTGTGCACACACAAGCATACCAACGCCTGCCCACATGCCCACATGTGCGCGCACACACACATTCTCACACTCATCCAGTTGCTGAAACACTGAGCTTAGATGACAGTTGTGACACAGCCTGGGTGCCTGCCTTGCTGTTAACACTCTCCGTTTGCACCTTGCAGCCGACCAAACAGGGATGCTGTTCATAGGAGACGCCGTGCTACAGGTCAGTGTCTCGAACCTCAGTCCTTCATGCGGCTGCATTCTTATTTTAAATTTACAGTAATCAATCATTATCCTGAAAATCCTTCATTTGTCGTCTCTTCAGGTTAATGGCATTAATGTAGAAAACGCGACTCATGAAGAAGTGGTAAGTGTTACGTTGTATTCTTTGTTCTGTTTATCAGATATTCTTTTATAATATCTAAAATCTAGATATTGATAGTTTTTCTCTCTAGATTTTCATTTCATGGAGTGTATTCATAGACAGAGCTTTAGAACTGGAATGAAAACCTGAGAGACGCGTCAGGCATGTTTCAGAAGGAGCCCTGTGCAGGGCTTGCTGAGTCCCATGCTGGTGGCTCTGCATGGGGACCCCTCGGGCAGGGACCCCAGACACTGTGAAGGGTCCATTTCGGTACGTCTGTCTGTCTCGAAGCCGGGAGGATGGAGGTCCAAGCAGTGTGGACTCGCTGGGGAGGCCTGAGGCCGCCGGCTGTGCTGAGAGCAGCATCTGTCAGGGCTTCCACACTCTCACTTCCTCCCACCACGCTCGTGCGCAGAACCCCTGGGAGGATGGCTCACAGGTGACGCACACCTGTGGTGACAACCCGGGATGATGGTGCGTCCTCATGTGTGTCAGCAGGCCTCACCCGGCATTCCTACCGTGGGAATGACTTTGCCGGCGTCATGGACGAAACAGACCTCCAGCCCGAGGCGTTGGTTCCGTGGTTGAGCCCTGAGCAGCCGTGCAGCTGGTCGGCGCTGTGGCCGCGTGTGAGGAAGGTGGGGCAGAGGAAGGTGCTGTGTGTGTGTGTGGAGCTGCAGGTCCCCACCTAATTAAGCTGATCCTGACAGATGAAGGATGGCGGGGCGCCGGCGGCCGAGCGTCCATGGGCAGGGCCTGACTGAGGGCAGAGGCGCCACGAGCGGGGGGCAGCGGAGGAGGAGCCGGGGGGCACCTGGGACAAGCCGGGCCGGCCGTCAGAGCTCCCGCAAGGACTTGCGTGTGGCTGTCACGTGAAATCCAGCGCAGCTCCTGTCTGTTAACATCGCCTCTCAGGGGCAGGTGTGTGCGTTCACTCACCACCGCTTATCTTTCCGAGAAGCCAGCGTTTAGTTGCACGACAGGACAAACAGCCACCCGACAGCAAGTCCTCTGGTCGGCATAGCACTGAATTCCCGAGACCAGGACCCAGGGCGCGAGCCGTGTTCCCGAGTGAGGGGTAACTGTGTGATCCATTCCTCCGTTTCTTCACTCAAAGTGTATTTACTGGGCTGTGATCTGTCCCAGGCAGAGAAAGGACTCACACATGG